GAAGATGAACTCATAATAAAAAAAAATCAGGATTCTACTGCTCTGATACCATGATAGAAACAAAGAGAAATAACATAGAAAATAAATAGTAGAATACAGAGAAGATGAGCTCAAGGAATTTCATTAGCTGAATTTCTATTACAACACAGTAACATATATAGCTAAGAATACTGAGTAGTACAGAGGTTGTTATAATGGAACATATGCTGAACCAAAGGTGGAATGCCGAGCTTGCTATAGCATAACAGAACACGTGCTGCTGATTGGACTTTACTAATGCTGTTAGCACTATGTCCATAACAATGTTCTCTTTATGTTTCTTACGAGGATATTATGTTTATGTCTTGGTAGGCGGGTCGTCACTCCTCAAGCCTCTCGAGAGGCTCAATCATTATGCCAAGGTATACACACATGCCCCGGCTTGCTTCTTGGTTAAGGTATAATCTCTTCAACTTATCAAGACCTCTCTTTTTTATGAACAACTTGGTAACACTCCCACACGCTTCATACTATTACTTTTACTTTCACCCAAATTATGTGGTAGGATGCATTAGATATTAGCCATGATTAGCACACTATTGAAGCTTTGCCTTGTTGGCTGAAGTTTGTCCCCGTCTATGAACCTTAGTGACCTTCATATAATCAACTAGGACTGTAGTGTAGGTCACCCATTTATACCATTTGCATCTCTATTTTTTTGCACGAAGCAAATCTCACAAGGATGATTTTTTTGGGTTTTACTAAAGCTGTTGAGTCGTCCGATCCTTAATAAGATATCCATGAGGAGAAAAGAAAATATCACAGTTATTATCAGTAGCTAGACGATGAACCGAGAGAAGATTAAAGGAAAGGATGGGAATAAGATGAAGGTGAGATAATTGTAGACTACCTGTAGGAGTGGGTAGAATACCTTTACTAGTGGATTGAATAGGTATGGACTGCCCATTACCCAGATTGACTTGGTTTGTCGTTATATGACTGAGAGGACTGAAGCATATTGGGATCGGAAGTGAGGTGGGACGAAGCTCCACTATCCAGAAACCACTATGTTGCAGGCACCTAATTTGCGGGAGTAAACAAAGAAGAGTTTGGCGGATCAGTTGAGTACTAGGGATCATGACGATACCAGCAGCGGACGGCAGTGTGACCCGGCTTCTCGCAGATCTGGCAAGCGACGAACGAACGATTGGGTCGTCCACCACGGTTGCTTGAAGAACCTTGGGGAGGAGACTTGGACGGTGGAGTAGATCTTCCACGAGAGCTATTAAACTGACCACGTCCGCGACCACGAGAAGCAATGAGAGCAGTAGCAGGATTTGTGAGTTGTGACATATTCATCTCCCGCGTAACTTCATGCGCCATATTGAGCTCCTCACTACACAACAACGTGTAGAGATCATCTAACGACAGTGGCTGAAGATTGGTGCGGATGACCGTTTTAAATGCCTGATAAGTAGCCGGCAGACCATTGAGTGTATGATGACTGATCTCTTTTGGATCAAGGGACAAACCAGCAGCTGCTAAGGAATCGACCTTAGATTTAATGTCCAATAGGTATTGCGTCATTGATTTATTTTCATGGTAATATGCTGTAATTCATTTTTTAACTGCATAATCCGGGATCGAGTTAAGGACTGAAGATGCTTGGCAATGGAAGTCCAAATATCAGTGCAATGATCCAGAGCTAATACATAAGGTAGTATAGCAGGGGAAATAACCAAATAAAGAGCAGCGGCAAGGTTCTGATCAATAAGAACCCAAGTAGTATACTGAGAATTCAAGATAAGAGTGATGCTGGAATCGGAAATGAATTTGGTTGGACACACAGAAGTTCCATCCAGAAAACCTTCATAGCAATTTGCACGAAAGAGTTTGGCAACCTGTGATTGCCAGGTTGGATAATTATTCGTCGTTAACGGATTAGCAATGATGTTCTTCACATTGGACATTAAAAACTTGAGTTGGGATGGGATAGTAGCGTCCATCATTCCTCCGGTTCCATCTGCTTGGACCGGTTACACTGTTGAAGAGGCCGAAGATGAACTCATAATAAAAAAAATCAGGATTCTACTACTCTGATACCATGATAGAAACTGAGAGAAATAACATATAAAATAAACAGTTGAATACAAAGAAGATGAGCTCAAGGAATTTCATTAGCTGAATTTTTATTACAGCACAGTAACATATATAGCTAAGAATACTGAGTAGTACAGAGGTTGTTATAACGGAACATGTGCTGAACCAAAGGTGGAATGCCGAGCTTGTTGTAGCATAACAGAACACTTGCTGCTGACTAGACTTTACTAATGCTATTAGCACTATGTCCATAATAATGTTCACTTTATGTTTCTTACGAGGATATTATGTTTATGTCTTGGTAGGCGGGTCGTCACTCCTCAAGCCTCTCGAGAGGCTCAATCATTATGCCAAGGTATACACACATGCCCCGGCTTGCTTCTTGGTTAAAGTATAATCTCTTCAACTTATCAAGACCTCTCTTTTTTATGAACAACTTGGTAACACTCCCACACGCTTCATACTACTACTTTTACTTTCACCCAAATTATGTGGTAGGATGCATTAGATATTAGCCATGATTAGCACACTATTGAAGCTTTGCCTTGTTGGCTGAAGTTTGTCCCCGTCTATGAACCTTAGTGACCTTCATATAATCAACTAGGACTGTAGTGTAGGTCACCCATTTATACCATTTGCATCTCTATTTTTTTGCACGAAGCAAATCTCACAAGGATGATTTTTTTGGGTTTTACTAATAAAATACTTAAGTAACTATAAACATCACATCTCAATGATTTTTTAGCCTTTAACACTTATTTTCATGAACATGATTAAGAATGTGAAAAATAAAATAAAATTTGAGCTCTAACATGTTAGGTCAATATGTGTACTAGTTTTGTGTAGTATGTAACACTATACAGAGAAGGCGCATCGCACGAACGAACCAAAATATTGTCGTGGGATTTAATATTTCACGAGCTTCTTTTGTAAAATCCTGTCGTGTGATTCTCGTTTGTTAAGCATGTGTCACGACCCGACCCGAATGCTCGATTTAACGAGGCGGGAACTAAAGTTGGACAGTAGGATCAAATCATTTCAATCCATATGCAATATAATATCAAATTTTCTCCATTTAACTTAAGTTCCACCAACAAAAATTTTCAAATACTTGACATTTATATAAATCTTAAATTATATATTTTCAGTTGCACGCCGTCTTCTATAGAGCAATTTTTCTTTTTTTGATCATTTCTAACATTGGAATCTAACCTGAAACATTTTTTTTTAATCTTAACTGAAACATTGTTTAATGGAATTAGTTTAGAAATGAGTTTGTAAACTCAACCCATCCCACTAATGTTTCAGATAAGTCTTCAGAGATTTAGAAATGGTAGAAAAGGAATAATTTATTTATAGAAGACAACGCAACACTGAAAATAGGTAATTATTTGAGAAATTTTGTTAGTGGCTCATCAGATAAAATGAGAAAATTTAATGTTTTAAATGTTGAATTACTTATGAATTAAAATGATTTGATCCTACCGTTTGACTTTTGTTCCCGCCTTGTTAAGTCGAGCATCCGGGCGGGGTCGTGACAGCAGGTCAACCCAAACCTAGAATTTTCAGGTCGGGTCCGAGTCGAGTTGGCAGGTCGGTCAATTTTTGACACAATAGCTTTACTGGTTATAGACTCTATTGTTACTGTATGTGTGTTTTACTATTTCTACATTGATTCATGATCATATTAATGGTACTGCTATGATTTGATTAACGACATGCATATTGCTTCTTTTCCATACTTTGAGTTTAGTTGTAGGATTTAGTTACTTGATGGGCTCTTAAGGTTATTATATGTAGTTAAATGTTTTCATGTTAGGACAATGGATTAAGAGTGTGAGATTGATCAGGGTCCTTCAGGTTCAAATTCTTGTTATTTTAGATTTTCTTTTGTACTCATGACAAAATAGTTGTGATATGATTATATAGATCATGAGAAGTGTACATGATTTTTGAGAAAATGAATATAGATCTATATATTGATATTTTGATTGATAGATTCACTTATGCTAATATTTATATTTATAAAATAAATTAGGTAGCTCTAATTGTTGTTTATAAAAGTTAAAATAATACTTCTTCCAAATTAAAATTTAGGGCATCACATATTATGCCTACAATCATACTGTTAATTATATTTTTAACAATATTGATAATGAAGGGATCATACAACGATTTCAAAATATGAAGACTCGAAGAGAGAAACTATCGGTGGCATGCATTTATGAAGAATATGAATAATATATGCTCTCAATTTTAAGTTTTTCTTTATTATAAATTTATTTTTTTGTTATAACAAATCTTATAAAACATTTAAAACCGTCAATGCAAGTTCCAAACCCATATGACAAAGGTTAAGGGTATTCTAAAGGGTCCATAATTTGAGCCTCCCACAAGAAAAAAAATTCTGGCTCCGCCGCTAAGCAAGCCTTAGCAATCATTTTTATGTCCTATTATAGAAATAAAGAAGTCATTTTGCGATCCATAGTCACGTCATAAAAGAGCAGCATTCCTCTGTTTTTAGACTTTTTTTGTAGACAAAAATTCAGACTTTGCTGATCTAAGAAACCTCTAATTCTTTTCTTTTAGATGAGTACCATATCTGTTGCTTGGCGCTTATAAATTTAAGGCAATATAACCCACTGATTCTTCAACCTCCCATCACTATCATCTTAATTAACTCACTTAATCTTAAGCTAATCAATGCAAAGCAATCCATTAAGAGTATTTAATTAATAAATCAATCACTTTTCCTTCACGTCTCTACTACTATCAGCATCAACTCACCCACTCTCCACCATCTCCTTCCCTAATTTTGAATCCAACCAGAAGCATTAAAAGAATTACTTGACTTATCAAACTTTCTCCTTTAATTATCTCAATTTCTGATGAATATGCCTTTTTATATGTGGAATCTTGCATTATAAACTAAGAGAATTACTTGACTGAGTATGAAATATGAGAAATATTATGCTTGTACTCAAAGAACTCCATTTGCTTGTGAGGATATCAAACTGCTTTTCTTAAGCTTTCACGTTTCTTGTCTTCTCAAACCGAGGGAGAAGAATGGAGAAAACAACGGTGGAAACAATGAGGTTTCTGGCATTAATGGTGGCTCTGTTTCTAGCTGCTCCAGCAGCTCAGTCATGGAGCAAGGAGGGGCATATCATGACCTGCAGAATTGCTCAGGTAATTAATCCTTCCATTAATGCTGTGTTTGGACCATGAGAATTTGAACGAAAGAGAAAAGAAAATCGATTGAGTGCTCTAATCATGAATGTAGATCCATAATTATTTCATCCGGCATTTGGATTTTGTTTCATTTTCTTAGCTTTTCAACATTCAGACAGCCTAAATCTCTTGGGTTATTTAAGAGATTTAGACCGAAATTCTCTGTTGAAACAGTACATTTTGTAGAGATTCAGGCTATGCTGGGTTTGAAGGAACTGAAAGAGAGGAAATGATCAATTTTGAGTCAAAATTAATCTCAAATGGTTTATGTGGGACTAAATTATGACCAATTTTTTTTAGTCAAAGTGACTAAATTGTGAGCAATTTTGTATCAATTTCTAAGCAAGGAATCATTTGAGATCAAGTTTGTATAGCTCAGGACTAAATTGAAGAAATATGATAGTCTGAAACTAAAATGAGCCACGCTCGAATAGTTGGAGAACTATTTTCTTTTGAAAATATAATAGCATATCAAAATATTAAGAACCATACCAAGTTGATCAAAAAAAGTGATTTAAATTTGAGTTAATGAAGATTAGGAGGTTATTTTTTGCTAAAACTAATGCCACAGGTATTAGGGCATCTCCAACCTAAAAACTTATTTTTCACTCCAAAATACAGTAACTTGTCTCCAACCGAATTCCATTTTCTAACACCAAAATAAGAATATTCATAATAGATTCTTTCTCATACGTTATTTTATATTTTTAATCATATAAATACGTTAAAAAAATAGTGGGTGAACAGTGCGATGCCAAATATGGCGTCGCACTATTCACCCGCACCCGAGCAATTTTTTTGGCGTTTGAATGGAGCAAACCAGCGACGCCTTACAGTCATTTGGAGTTCCGTTGGAAATGCCCTTAAAGCTCAGCAGTAACAAATCCACTGCAAAAAGATTTTGCAGCGGACAATAATCACAATGGTTTTGCAACGGTTTTAACAACTACTATTTCATTTTTGGCAAAAAATTACCACAAAAGCCTAAAATAACCACCATGAAAGCCTTTTTTTAAGCCATTACAACGCCTTATTACCATTAATGACAATAAGAAATGTTGATCTGACTTCTGCTACTTCTAATTATAAGAATTTTGACAGTCTCTCCTGGATGAAGGCCCAGCAGAAGTAGTCCGAAACCTGTTGCCAGACTACGCCGAGGGAGACTTATCATCTCTCTGCGTTTGGCCAGATCAAATCAGGCACTGGTACAAGTACAGGTGGACAAGCCCTCTTCACTTCATTGACACACCTGATAAAGCTTGCAACTTTGATTATTCAAGTAACTAAGAACTTCAAAGCATTCAAAAATACTCCCATCAGCGCCAAATTCCCAGTTCTGAAGCTAAATTAAGCTACTCTTTACAGGAGACTGCCATGACCCTAAAGGAACAGAAGACATGTGTGTTGCTGGAGCTGTTTCCAATTTCACCACTCAGTTGCTGCACTACCATCATGGCACTTCCGATCGCCGATGTAAGCTACTTTTTCTATGCTTATCTAGCACCCTCCAAAGTTAACGGAGAATGCTAGATCCTGTAAATGCTTATCTAATACTCCCAAAGTTAATGGAGAGTGCTAGATTCTGTAAATGCTTATCTAGCACTCCCCAGAGTTAACACAGAGAGTGCTAGATTCTGTAAATCGTAAAGTTTAAGTGTTGAATATGTAAATCTTATAATTTTCAGTGCTAAGTATGCAAGTTCATCAAAGTGAGAGAAGGTTTAACAATTTACTGTTTCATTTTTATAGATAATCTCACAGAAGCTTTGCTATTTCTAGCTCATTTCATGGGGGATATTCATCAGGTTAGCATTTCAAATCTTAAGTGACTTATTTTTTTGTCAACTTGCAGATCAATTTAAGCAAAAATTTGAATTTATTTCTTGTTTAGCCAATGCATGTTGGATTCACCAGTGATGAAGGAGGGAACACAATTCAGGTGCGATGGTTCAGGCACAAATCTAACTTGCATCATGTAAGTCTGCAAAATGCATACTCTGCAAAACTGAAATTTTATTTCATGTGAACCCTTTTCTATCATTACTTCTGTATTTACAATTTTTATTACATTTTTCTGAAATTTTGAAGGTTTGGGATAGAGAGATAATCCTTACAGCATTGGCAGATTATTATGAGAAAGATACTGAACTCTTTCTGAAGGATCTCCAGAATAACCTCACTCAAGTAATGAAAGCACATCTTTTTTGATAAATTTGGTTTGGTTTCTCATGATTTCTAAAGCAATTTTGTTAGGGAAAGCAAGATAAAAAGCTTTACCAAACTGTCCCTTGATTTGCATCTGCTGATGCAATATGTTGATCAACAGCAGGGGAAATATCAATGTCCTGAGATGATTAATGATTATTTATCTTAAATACAAAAATTATCATACAGATTATGTATTTTTATTGATGTTTTGATCTTGTAATTTGCAGGGTGTTTGGTCTGATGACATATCATCTTGGGGAGAGTGTGAGGATCTGTCTTCTTGCCCTACAAAGTGAGCAATCTTTTGCAGAAAATCTGAATCAGAATATACAAATTCCAGTTTAAGACTTTGAAATTTGTATAATAGAGATCATACAATCAACTTTTTTCAAGGCTTTTTCTTCTAGATTGATTTACATTTTCTGATAAAATCTAAATTTATCTTTTTATTTATAAAAAAATGATCAAAATGATTCCTTGACTCTTTATGAATGATCAAAATTATTCTTAAATATATTAAGGGATCGTTTTGATCCCTCAAGTCCTTGAAAATGAGTCAAAGTAGTTCCATGGTGGGGCTATTTTGATTACATTTTAAAGAGTTGAAGGACCAAATCATCTTTTAATATAATTGGAGATCATTCTAATCTTTCATAAAGACTCAAGAGATCATTTTGATCGTTCTCTATTCATTTTTTAATCAGATATGCTACAGAGAGCATCAACTTGGCCTGCAAGTGGGGCTACAATGGCGTAACGCAGGGAGAAACTTTAGCAGGTAAATCATGGAGAAATATTAGCTCAACAAATACTTTCTACAATTTAATCCATAATATTGTATTAATGCTTGAAAAACCTTCATTAATATGTTGCATTATTTGATTTTCTGTAGATGAATACTTTGATTCACGGATGCCGATCGTGATGAAACGGATCGCACAGGGAGGGGTGAGATTGGCCTTGATTTTGAATCAGGTGTTTGGAGATCAAAAGCATCATCATATTCCACCCCCAACCTAATTTTTTTTTTTTATTATTATTATTACAATGACTGATTAGTGTACCCTAAAATAATCTTAGTCAATCCAATAGGCTATGGAAAAAAGTTGGATAATTCATAAAATAAGTATATTATTGCATATTTTATATGGTTTTCAAAAGAAAAATATTATAAGATTTGAATGAAATGTATGGTTTGTTTGGAACAATTTTCTCGTTACTTTTCGATTTTTTTTTGGTGAAATGCTATTTTTTGGTAATCATAATAGCTAGGCTATTTTCTCTATTATAACTTCTCAACTAATTTTATATATTAAGAGATGTGTGGCTTCATGCTCTTTTAATATAAAATTGTTATGTTCCAAAACTCAATCTTGATGCCCAAAGACTTTTGTTATTGAATTGATAATAACTTAATGTCATAGTCTCTAAACTAAACAAAAATAATAATGACATAACTGTACAACCTATTCTTTCCTTAATTTTGTTTGGCATTTTTTATTTGATCTATGATTTTGCGAAATTATAGCTTTAAGTTTGGTTCTAATCTTACGGTATGTTTGGGACAGCTGCAACGTTTTATAAAGTTGGATCTGAAGTTGTCTTGGAGAAAATAACTTAACTACTTTAATTATAAAAAAAAACTACTATAGTTATAAAAAATAGCTTTTTAATACAGAAATTTCTAAAAGACAGCGAGAAAACAAAAAGTAGTACTTAAATAAAATCATGGTTGTTATCTGAAAAACAAAGCAATGAGAAAGCTCTCCCAAACAGACCCTTAATCTTAGAACAATTAAGTATCTTAAAATCTCTAAAAATGATTTTAAATAGTTAATAGAAATTTAAACGAATTGATTCATTGTTAATACTATAGGTTTTGAGCAAAATGAAGAGAAATTTATAGAACAAATTATTTCAAACTTTTTAATTAAATGAAAATATTGGTGTATTTAATGAAGAAGATGTGGTATTTTCATGTCTTCAAAATGCAATGAATTTTTGGCAAAAATTTTTAATTAAACCTAATTTATAATCATATTAATGAAAAAAACATGAAAAAAAATTCATATATGCCTAATCATCCTAGTTTTTTTTTTTTACTATGAGAAATTATTGAATGGTTTTAATAAATTTAAAAAATTATCAAATTATTATGGAATGTTCTATAGACTCTGAAAGGCTTATGGTTCAACTCCATTTATGCATATTTCAAATAAAAGGGTAATTAAAATGAATTAATTAATTCCCTAATCTTAATTCCAAAAATCATATATAGCTATGTATAGGAAATTTCTAAAATCAATAGATTAAATAGAAAGTAATCTAAAATATTCTTATTATCAAATAATAAGAAAATTCTAATTTTCCATATTAAAAAAAATTTAAAATTAGGATTAATTCACAAAATTCCTTGAAATTTATGGGCTTTACATTTATGTACCCCATTTCCTCTATGCAAGATTTCATAACCTTAGGAACCCATTTGACATTATTTCACATTTTAATAAGCCATAAGAAATTGCAGCCAAATATGTGCCGAACTCAATTTGAGCCTAGCCTATTTGGGTTCTTCTTAGGTTTAGGCCTTGCTAAACTTTATGTCCCCTTAACCTCTTAATGAGCTCAAGAGCCCTATCTATCCTTAGGAGCAAATCTTAAATCTATTTGACTCGTTTACGTGGCGAAAAATAATGGAGAAGTCTTTAAATTTCTTTGATCAAATCCCAACATTCCTTACTTGTTTGACCCCATCAAACAAGTTTTGGGCCTATCCATAGCCTAGAAAGTCTTGAACTTTCCTTGGTCTTAAACTTCAAAGCCTTAGAAGCAAAATTAAATTCTTTCGCAATTGGCTCAAAAAGCCTTAAAACCAAAATTTTGCCTTAAGATCCAAAGCTATATGCCAAACTCATATTGCCCTCACTTATTTGGCCGAATCAAACTAGTTCCTTTTATTGTTAGGCTCATAAGCTTTAGGCCTATATTCTTAGTTCAATCAACCAAATATTGACTCATTCTTTAATTCAAAGCATAAGTTTCACTTTTTTGGCCCAATCAAGTAAGTATCCCTTACCTTAGGTCAAAAACCCTAGGTCTAATCTCCTTGTTCTTGGACCTATTAGTTTTAGCCTAAGTTGTTTTGGCCCTATCAAATAAGTGGTTCTTTATTTTTAGGCTCATTAGCTCATAAGCCTTTAACCTACTTGAGCAAGCACACATATGTCCCTAGGCTTGTTCATGTGGTCCAATCAAGTGAATGATTCATCCAAATTTTATACCTAATTATTAACCTAAATCAAATGAGTGGCTTAATTTATCCTTAGGCCAATAAGATTTTTGGTTCACTTGGCCGGTTAAAGTAAGTACACTTTTCACCTTAGGTTCAAGTCCTTAAGTCCACTTTTACCAGACTTTGGCCTAATTACTTGACCCAATCAAGGAAGTGATCTTTCCACCCTAAGCCTTAAAGCTTACTTGGCCTCATCAAGTTGATCGCATAAAATCTTGGTCCAAACTCTTAGGTTATTCACTTAATCAAAATAAGTGAATTTATCTCTTCATATCTCTTTTAAAATTCATATAAAATCATGAGACTATAGGCCTTAAATGTTACATAGCCTAATTAGGTGGATTTAATCAAGTCCTAAGTGAAATTGTTAAGTATATTTGCTTGGCCTAATCAACTAAATCTCCATCATTTTTAAGTTAAGCACTAAGCAAACTAATAATATATTTTGCTCCATTCTAATATAATGAAGTGTCACTTCACCCTTAAGATGGAATGTATATTTCACCATGTCTTTAAACACCATGGATGGCAAGCTTGTATTAGAATAATCAATGATCATTTAATGGGTTATATATAACCCTTAGAAATAGGCTTTTTTAAGCTTATTTGGAATGACTTTCTTACTGCTTTATAAATAGGCTTTTCTATTAAGAAAATTTCTTGAAAATAGGGAAAAAAGTGGTCAAAAGCTATCTCAAATGAAGCCTAAGACTTGATTTGGAATAACTTTCTTACTGCTTTATGAAGTAGTTTCTTAGTACAAAACGATTTTAGAAGTTTTATACTAAAAAACTATTTTAGAAATAAGTAAGAAAGTTGTTTCAAATGAAGTTTAAAGTCATGTTAGATGTTATTGATTGTGTCAGCAAGCTTTAAATCCATTATTGAACCAGCATGATAGGATACTCGTTTCTTTTTTGTGGTTATCAACCCTTATTATTGTTTTCGCAAATGTACTTCAAGCTATAAATTTGGAAGGCTTCTATGGGAATTACAATTATTGTTAAAGTTTGTTTGTTAAGCACATGATCGATTGCTTATATTCAAACATTTGTGCAGCAAATTAGTTCAGACTGTGGGCTGTTCTAAGTTCATAGCCTCTCTATAGATCATCGTCAATATCATCTAAAGCATTATAAGGCTTCGTTTGGGATGGTTTTTTGTTGCTTCTTAAAACAATTTTTTAGTACAAAAATTTTAATTATTGAACTAGAAAGTTGCTTTAAGAAGCAGCAAAAAATCTGTCCCAAACGAAGCCTAAATATCAATTAAAAGCTTGATTTGAACTAAATGTAGTTTTTAACTGGCTTGTTTATTTTAATACAAATTCAAATCTTGAGATAAATGTAACACCCCACTATACCCCTTATCAGTATTGTAGAGTGGTACATAAATAATCAAAACATGTTTAGTCTTAAAATATGATACTTTTTTATCATTTTTATCCATTAATATTTACATTTACTACATAAACGGAAGAATTTAATAACTCTAATTATATCTAACATAAATAATTATAGAGCCACTAATAAAATTCAAAATAGTTCATCATTGAACCGTCTATATACTTCAGCTGTAGACCCACGATCTACACAAATAAGACTAAACAATAGATTATAAAATGAAATAATTTGAACATATTCAAATTTGATCTTTTCCTTTCATTTTTTTGTAACAACAATAAGTATGAAAATAACGAGTGAGCTATGTGGCTCAATAAGTTATGAAATTTACATAAAAATTAAATGCTAGATTACAAAGAATAATACAATTGAATTAACTTAGAAATATTTGTAAAACAACATAAATCATCTTTTAAAAATCATCATTTCATTCATTTGAAGTCTATATAAAATATCAATATTAGTTTTTAAAGATTTGGCTAAACTTTCATAAAAATATTCAATGGAGACCAGGTAAACCTGACATTATCGTCATTAAACTACATAAAGGCCCATTTTGCCTCTTTAAGAGTCCCTTTTGCTCCATCTGTCATGCATGTACATATTTAGGGTCCCTTTTGTCCCACCTATAATTGCAGGTATCATACATGAGGTCCTTTTTATCCCTCATATAATTGCATGTTTCATATCATTTTATAGCTAATCGTTACTAATTTAATATTCAATAAACTTCATATATTCATAGTTCATATTTGTATTGTATGATTGTATAATTTCATCACAACATAGTTGTTATATTATTTGCATAGAAATATTTTATATGCAATAAAGAATTGTACTTCTTTTCAAATTGTTAGCAACTAAAAAAATGTTCAAATAATCATATCATATCTTATGTTAAATTCCAATTCCTCAAATATAGGTCTAATCCCTCATACATGAATACTTGATTATTAACATGCATAATATAAAATTACCTACTTTAATGACTATCTTTCTAAATTAGCATTTAAAATTAGTGTACAGGTCTATAATGATAACATATACTCTTTAATTAAAATTTGTATTACTTACCTCTTTGACGATTTGCCTCCTCGATTCCTCCAGCTCGCGCTCTTCTCCTTTTATAAGTTTTCTCAAAACCTCTCCTCTGCATATGCTAGGTAATTCCTACAATTGGTGACATCTTCTTTAGGAACTTTTACTACTATATGAAAATTTATAAAACAACCATAAATAATATAAAACAACCAAAACTTCTTACCTTTAGCTTCTTCCTTCAATTTCTCTCTTATTTTCCTTTAACCGAGATCCTCTACTATAATTCTGCTCTCAAAGTTTATTCCAATAGATAGCCAATTACCACTCTTACATGCTCTTAGAAGTATTTTGCTCAAACTTCTGTTTATTTCTATTCCTATTCACATAAACTCATAAGCATGAAAATTCCTATGAAGATGTAAACTGAGAGTAAGAAGCTCTTTACAAACAGTGCCTCACCAGTTCCAAGACTTCTGTTTCTCTCTATTTTGCACTATATCGAGTCCTGCTTCATAGCACTATGCCGATCCTTCTTCAAAAGCACTGTGTCGAACTCCTCAAATAAACACTCTACCGAATGAGAGATTATTGGGTTCGGACACCGGACACAACTTACGTAGGTATTCAAAGTACCAAGCAATAATGAGCTAGGTACTGTGAAGTACTAAATACCGAGCAGTACTGAGCTCGTTACTGAGCAGCACCGAGTAGGTGGATCAGAAGCTCACTAAAAGAACAATATTTGAAATAAACTAAGACTTTTAGAATCTATCTAATACAGGAAAAGAAAAAGTAAAACAAAGAAAAGGTTAAATCTAAAAAGTAAATAAGGCAACCGCAACTGCGACAATGACAACAACCATAACAATATTTAAATGAACGGCCAACCAAAGCTACTTGAATGACCCAACGAGCAACATACCAACGAACATTCTCCACCAAGAGCAACCAAAGCTACTTGAAAACAACTCTAAGTAGAGGAAATAAACAACCTGCAAAAAACATAAAGCAAAAAAGAAAAGAGGGCGGGATAGCATCGCCACCCGGCCCCCACAATCAACACCAAGACCACCACAAACTGACCAACAAAACACTATCAGCTCAGAACTGAGGCAACCAATAGAAAAATCACCAGCTAAATAAAGCTACTTTCTAGATTTTCTCCTGCGACGCTTACTGCCACGAGAGAACACTTTCTCAGCAAACTGACAAACATCCAAACCATACAAATCCTGAAAAGACTCATCTTGCTCAACATCTAAATCATCACCCACCTCACCCGTTGATGATGGAGACCCATCATGTCAAACTGAATGCCCGAAGCAAGTAACCCCAAAATTAGAAATAAATTGTGCATTTAAACTATTAGAGGACATAATAGCTATAGGCACCTCAACCAGAGACTCAGACCCAGTCACCCCAGCGACCCTGCAGAGATAACAGGTCTGCCACCAGCAGAAGCCACAACATCTAAACCATACAATTTTATGCATTTATGTACTTCAGCACATTTTAAACTTAGGTGTATGTATGTAGAATGTGAGATCTACATGTGCAACACAAATATGTATGTATGAAAATATTTTACTTAGGTCTAGTTGAGCATATGCATGCACGCACACATGCATATGCATGTATGTACATGCTGCAATGTATATTAGGCCTCAGTAAAGTGTGTGCAAAAAATCTAATGTTATGAACAGTCCAATAACATAACAAAAAATGGAAGCTGAACTATGCGTCACACTCAAGAAGGGGTTGGATTTTTATCCAATAATAATGAATTAATATCAATAAGATAAGCTAACCAATAATTTTAAAATTAAGATGCGATCCAATGCTAAATATAAGCACAATTATTTAGAATAAAATTAAAAATGATAATTTAATTATTTAGAATAGTATCATAATATATCGTATAGTATAATTAGTTCAATTTTTGAAATAACATACTCTTTATATATATATATACAACAAGAATGCGAGCTACTGAGGGATGAGAGCCAACAGCCGTAGCATTATCAGTTTGAATCGAGCGTCCAAATATAGATCCCAAACCAAAAAGAATTCGGGGGGAGAAGAGATGCGGACGCAAACCAGGAAACGAGAGCCAAACAGGGACTAATAAGCGATTCCTCCGAAAGATCAAGATGAGGCGACCACTTAATAAGTTTCATGAAACATCCAAACACAAAGTAAGAGCGATGCGCGAAAATTCTCCCATAATCAAGATCATTCGAGAGTTTGATCAGAACATTGGACTGGTCCAGCATAGTGACAGAGAAATCGCCAGATAATTTAAGATTGAAAAAAAAATTACCGATTGAATCTAAATCAGGCCGCTTAAGTGGAAATTTCCCCACCAATGCATATTCAAAAGGTTTAGCAAGATGTAAAAATTCATCTTCTAAAAACCACAAAGCCGGCATCCCTCGAATCGTAGAAATACGAAAATCAGGAAAACTTTTCGAAGCAACGGCACCAGACAAAACATCTTTGAAGGATTCTGAATGCTTACCCTCCAAAAACTCAGGATCTAACAGTTTATTTTCCATGAAATGCAGGGCAGCCGGAGGAGCCGAAGACGGAGACGGGGCAGTGGCGGCTAGGACAAAAGCCCTAGCAAAAGGGAAAAAACCCAAGCAGACGAATACAACACATTTTTTTTCTATATTACTGAATTCTTACCTTTACCTTATTCCTTCAATTTCTCTCTTTTTTTCCTTTAACCGAGATCCTCTACTATAATTCTGCTCTTAGTAATTCCTGACTCAAGCTTCTATTCTGTGCTATGCCTATTCACATAAACTCATAAGTATGAAAATTCCCATGAAGATGTAAACTGAGAGTATGAAGCTCTTTACAAACAGTGCCTCACCCATTCCAAGACTTCTGTTTCTCTCTATTTTGCACTATATCGAGTCCTGCTTTACAGCACTATGCCGATCCTTCTTCAAAAGCAATGTGTCGAACTCCTCAAATAAACACTCTACCGAACGAGAGATTATTGGGTTCGATCGGACACCGGACACAGCTTACGTTCGGTATTCACAGTATCGAGCAGTACTGAGCTTGGTACTGTAAAGTACTGAATACCGAGCAGTACTGAGCTCGGTATTGAGCAGTACCGAGCTCACTACCGAGTAGGAGGATCAGAAGCTCACTAAAAGAACAATATTTGAAATAAAACCTAAGACTTTTAGAATCTATCTAATACCGAAAAAGAAAAAGTAAAACAAAGAAAAGGCTAAATCTAAAAAGTAAATAAGGCAATCGCAACTGTGACAACGACAACAACCATAACAATATTCAAATGAACAGCTAAACGACCCAACGAGCAACATACCAACGAACATTCTCCACCAAGAGCAACCAAAGCTACTCGAAAACAATTCTAAGTAGAGGAAAGAAACAACCTGCAAAGAACATAAAGCAAAAACGAAAAGAGTATGGGAGAGCATCACCACCCGGCCCCCACAATCAACACCAAGACCACCACAAACTGACCAACAAAACACTATCGGCTCAGAACTGAGGCAACCAATAGAAAAACCACCGTCTAAGTAAAGCTACTTTCTAGATTTTCTCCTGCGATGCTTATTGCCACGAGAGAGTACTTTCTCAGCAACCTGACAAACATCTAAACCATACAAATCCTGAAAAGACTCATATTGCTCAACATCTAAATCATCACCTACCTCACCCGTCGATGATGGAGACCCATCATGCCAAACCAAATGCCCGAAACAAGTAACCCCAAAATTAGAAATAAATTGTGCATTTAAACTGTTAGAGGACATAATAGCTATAGGCACCTCAACCAGAGACTCAGACCCCAGAAACCCTGCAGAGATAACAGGTCTGCCACCAGCAGAAGCCACAACATCTAAATCATACAATTTTATGCATTTATGTACTTCAACACATATTAAACTTAGGTGTATGTATGTAGAATGTGAGATCTACATGTGCAACACAAATATGTATGTATGGAAATATTTTACTAGCTTAGGTCTAGTTGAGCATATGCATGCATGCACACATATGCATGTATGTGCTGCAATGCATATTAGACCTAAGTAAAGTGTGTGCACACATTAATATGATCTTTCACTTCTAATGCTATTAGTTCACCTCTTCAAATATTTATGTGGCTATGCAGATTTTATTGAAGAGAGAAATTATATTTATCTTTAATTTATTGTATATCTCTTCAATATTAATTAACACACATAACCACTTAGTACAGGTGCAACCGAGTCAAGCCAACTCGGACTCAACTCGGTAACAAGCTCGATGATTCGAGCTTATCAAGCTTGCAAGTTGAGCATGAACAGGCGTTGGACTCGACTCGTCGGCTCGACGAGCAGCTCGACTGGGTGGGATTCACGGGAACGAGCTCAAAACGACGATGGATGGATGTGCTCAGGACACGTTCGAACATGTTTAGGACGACGGATCTCAATGCCCAAACGGACCTTGGGACGACAAATCACGACATTTTGAGCTCGACGCTGCTCGACATGAGTCGAGCTCGTGCTCGGATTTGAGCTCGAGCTCAGTACCTAGCAGTCAAGCTCGACTTGAACAACCACTGGCTCGAGCTCAACTCAACTTGTTTGCACCTTACCACTGATGCAATGATCTTAACAAATAACCATTCAAATCACGCTACTATTAATTAACATCCTCAGACCTTAGAACACTGGCAGGAAAACCAAAACGTCAAGCTTCAAGCTTCTTTCTCTAATAGTAATTCGTTAGCTTCTTGCTTTTATCCTTCTTCTTAATTCTTCTAACTCTTATTCCCGAAGCCATGAAACACTACCAAGCTTTTTACGAGGAATACTTGCTATATTGCATGACCTGATGCTTGCACACAAAGAACACCATGCTTTCAAGCTATCTCCCACTGAGCATCATTATATGTATCTGATGTGTTCATTAAGGAATCAAGAGATCGATTGAGAAGAAGAGCTTAGAAGAGGATCCATCGATGATTGTCATTTCGATGGGGAAGATTATTTTTCCAATGATGGCTCTTCTGGTTCTTGCTTTGGTGCCAGAAGCTCAATCATGGAGCAAAGAAGGCCACATGTTAACCTGCAAAATAGCTCAGGTGAAGACCAACATAAAAGAAATTATAGCAAGATATTTAAGCGTACAATCTGTGATATCTTAGTGATGGATGATATAGCTTAATTTTATGTGCAGGAACTGTTGGAAGAAGATGCAGCTGAAGCAGTTAAGAACCTGCTGCCTCGTTACGTTGAAGGTGATTTATCAAAGCTGTGCACTTGGCCGGACCAGATTCGTCTCTGGTATAAATATAGGTGGAGCAGTCCCCTTCATTTCATCGACACACCTGATGGAGACTGCAGCTTCAATTATGCAAGTAAGCATTAGCAGGGCTGGGATCAAAATGAGCTCAGGGTTGGCAATTACTCACTCTGATTTTTTTTTTTTGAAAAATAAATATTTTAATTATTTTGTCCATCATCAATAAATAAATTAAATTACACAAATTCTAAGAATTTTTTTTTCTATTTCATATATAAAATTATGTATTTCACGATCATATTTTATTCACCATAAAAGGAAGGAGAAATTATTTTGTGCGGATACCGGACGGTTCGGAGACAAACCAGAATGCGCCACATCACCCAGTAAACAACAGTACCGAACAAAAAAATGACGTGGAGCGTTCTTCTTGGTCTTTAGACGCCGTCCAGAATCTGCACATAATAACTTTTCCCTCAAAAGAAAGGCTAATTCTGCCCTGAGCATTAGGGCATCTCCAACCGAAACTCTTATTTTTCACTGCAAAATGCAGTAAAATCAAAAAGTGTTGTGATTCATCTCCATTGGAACGCCATTTTGGCCCACAATCATCGTCGTTTCTTTCGCGTCTTTCTCAGACTGAGTTCGATAGAGAGAAAGAAATGACGAAAGTGAACGTCGCACTGTTCATCAGCGACTGAATGCCAGCAAAAATGGAGTTCGGTTGCGACGTCTGAGGCTCTCCATTCTCCTGTTTGCCAAACGGCTGGAGAAGCTCTTAGTATCATAAAAAAAAAAAAAAAAATTCACACTACAGATACTCAAAACTACTCAAAAAATTCTATAATAACTTATAATTTTACCGTTTATTGTAATTTATTTTCTATATCTGAATTTCTCTCTTTCTCTCTCTCTATATATATATTATTTTATTTTATTTTATTTTATTTTTTTGTGAAGGGGATTGTCATGATCAGCATGGCAATGAAGACATGTGCGTTGCTGGTGCTGTTCGTAATTTCACAGAACAGTTGATGCATTACAGGGAAGGGTCCTCTGATCGCAGATGTAAATAAAATATTGTAAATTTTTTTTACATAAATATTTTTTTATTTAGTTTTGTTAACCATAATGATTATTAATTTCTCTACAGATAACTTGACCGAGTCTCTGTTATTCCTTTCTCACTTCATGGGTGATATCCATCAGGTTTATACTTTTTTTTTTTTTTGGGAGATTTTCATACATACAACTTTATATTATACTATTTATGTATCTAACATTTTAAATTTTTAATATTTCATTTCTACCACGCGTAGATCAACTATGAGCGTAAGGAATGAAATATTTAAATTTATAGGATGATATGAATGAAATATATGAATGATATACTTGATATTAAAGTTGTCTATAGGTGATAGATATAAAATATTAAAATTTTAGAAGTTAGATATGTAAATAATATGATATATAGGGGCATGTATGTAAATCCCCTCTTTTTTTTTTTTGTTTAAAAATAAAAATAAAAAATTATTGGTTTGTTAATGATGTTGCAGCCAATGCATTGCGGGTGGACCAGCGACGCCGGAGGCAACACGATTAACCTGCGATGGTTTAGACGCAAGTCCAACTTACATCATGTGAGTTAAAAAAAACCAGATAAACCATAAATACTTTTTACACATTTAACCTGCAGGGGTATTGATCTAATTTGCACAACTCTAGTTAAGACTTTTTTTTTTTAACATTGTTAATCTTAGGTGTGTAAATGATTCGAGTCGAGCTCGAGTTCGAGCTCAAACTTTATTCTACGAGTTCGAGCTGACTTGTTTATTATGGAAGAGAGAAAAACAAGCAATTATTGTAATTAAAAGAAAAATAATAAAGAATCACTTTATATAAGAATGAGAAATATTATTTTTAAACATTTTTAACAATTTTGTACTTTAGATTATAAATGCTAATATATTTTAAGTGCATTTTATATTATTATTTTTTTAAATGAGCCAGGTCGCAAGCTAACCCCGAGCGAAAAATTATTCTATGCTGACGCCGGATGCAACTCTACGTCCGAATGCCGCAGTACCGAGCGATACTAAGCCGCGGTACAGTAAAAGGGTGACATGGTGCATTTTTATTGGTCTACGGACAACGATTAGTTTCCACACAAAATAAATTTTCAAGCTTGATTCGTTAGCTCATCGAGCTAAGCTCGCAAGCCATTTATTAAGTCAAGCTTGAGTCGACTCACGAGTCAGCTTGACTCACTTACACCCCTAATCAATCTTTATGTTAATTAAAAAATATTTGCATCATTTTCATATTAATTATGATAAAAATACAAAACATTATCCAAGGATTCCAATTCATATTTTATCTCAATAAGAACATAAAATAATAAAATATAGAAGTCACATGCTTAAATTAAATGGACATTTAAATTTCTTGTTATATATGTATAATTAATTGATATTTTCTAATTTTCAGTATTCATTTCTATATTTTATTATCTCTATATAAATTATATCCGAATATTATCATACATATATTTTTTTTCCTTAAAAATTATAATATTACATATACATGCAGGTCTGGGATAGAGATATAATTCTGCAAGCAATGTCAAAGTACTATGAGAAGGATTTGGATGTCTTCCTCAAAGATCTTCAGAAAAACTTAACCACTGTAATTAATTAAGAGATTAAAATTTCGATTATTATTTACTTATGTCTTAATCCTTAATCCTCATTACTTTTCTCTAATTAATCTGCAGGGAATGTGGTCAAATGAAATTCCCTCATGGGTGGATTGTGAAGATCTCTCTTCTTGCACTGATGAGTGAGTACAATTAGTGTTTAATTAGTTGTTTACTATTGCATAAATTAAAATTTTGGAAGTGGACGGTGATCAGATGATGGTGTGATAATGGACGGTTGTGATCTAACGGTATTTGGAGACTTAAAAAAGAGAGAGATATTATTCTTGCGTGTTTAAGGCTTTATTTGTGACAGCTTTCGTACTGTTTTCTAAAACGACTTTCTAGTATAAAATTTTCTAATTCAAGAAATTGTTGTACTAGAAAGTTGTTTTAGAATGCAACAAAAAAGATGTCCCAAACAAAGCACTACTGCTTTCTAAAACGGCTTAATTTTTAGTATAAAATTTTCTATTTCAAAAAATTGTACTAGAAAGCTGTTTTAGAAAGCAACAAAAAAGCTGTCCCAAATGAAGCCAAAATATTTGTAGCTGTAAAGAGAGCTTAACAATTTAGTTAGTTTGACTATAACTATCAAACGATGATGATCAAGCTATCATAATCAAAATATAATGATCGAATAATAGTAATCAAATAATGTCGACGGCCACCGTCACCTAATAGATAATTAAAAAAATGAATATAATTAAAAGTTTGAATTATATTTAATCTAAGATGACAATTTATGAATGCTAAGTATGCATAAAAGTCAAAATTTTCAATATACCCACTGATGCTTAGCTTGGTTGGTGGGCGAGTACAGTTGGGAACCTCCCGGCCAACCCGTGCTCGATTCTTTTTGAGCGGCAACGCCTCTTAAGTGGGGCCCAAATAAGTGCGGGCTCGGAGGTTTCTGGGGTGGGTGCCTTTTCTATGTTAGACAAGTATTAGTCACACGGCCAAGCGACTTTTCGGGGGTGGTAGCGGGAGAATACCCCATTCCAAAAAAAATTCAGTATAATTACCACTTAATATTTTCAGGTGATTGATGCTTTGTTTTCTTCTTTTTATTTGTGCAAGCAGATATGCTGCAGAGAGCATAGGCTTAGCCTGCGATTGGGGTTATAAAAATGTAACTAATGGAGAGACTCTTGCAGGTAAATAGTCGAGCTGAACTTCATCAAAATTCGTGCATAAATTCATCAAAATTTACCTATAAACCGCTTCTTAAAACTTTATTTTCTTTTTCATTTATGTAATTCAGATGAATATTTCGATTCACGACTGCCTGTCGTGATGAAGCGAATCGCGCAAGGAGGGGTTCGGCTTGCTATGATTTTGAATCGGGTGTTTGGAGGAGAAGAAGAAGAAGAAATTCCATGGCCAACATAATTAGGCCTTAATTACATGTTAATCATGCCGAAATTCTCTTTTGTATGTATTTTTTAACATGTGTATATTTGTTATAGTTCATGATGATAATGATATTAGCTTCTTTGTATGTCTACAACAACAAGAAGTTTTTATCTCTTTACGGGCGGTCAGCCTCATTCATTTGTCTAGACAATGCAAATAAATAAATAAGCAACTCCTTTGATCTTTGAAATTTTTTTTTTTTGTGAGAAATGCTCTAATGCCTAATTGTACCATTTAGCTTAGCACAAGTTATGCAAACTAAATTAGAAATTTAAATGTGAAAAGTGATGTTGATATGGAGTTAGACTTTCAAAGAATTTAAGTCAATTAAATTTTATTTTATTTTTTGAAAAAATCAAGTTTGAAGCCAAAAATTCATTATGTATTGATATGTCACCAAAAATCATCTTGATCGGGTATGAATCTTGATGCAAATATGAGTTGGAAGCTTAAAAAATTAAATTTGGAACCATTCAAACTCTGACTATAACAAGCTTATAGTCAAATTGAACATCTCACGAAGACAAACCTGATGGCACCAAATTCAATCCAACCAAGCCCAAATGGGTTAAAATCAAAGAATCAAAGCATATTTGGAAGCTTCAAAATATTAATTAGATGACCAAATGATATTGAAATATGACATGCTTCTAGTCTAATTGAGCGGCTCAACGACACGAATCTAATAAGCCCAAGATCACTCAATTCTGACATCTCTAAGACATTTAAATGCTTAATAAATAATTTGTGATCAACGGGATCACTATGAGCTTTCTAATAAGAGCACTCTAATCTTTCCCTAGATCTTCTCCATATTTACTAGACATGCTACTCCCAAAAAATTATAAATAAACCATCATTCTTCACCAAGAGTCATCAGATCTTCTCCATATTTACTAAGTATGCCACTCCTAAAAACTATAAATAGACCATCATTCTTCACTAAGAAGATAAAATTTTGGGAGCTCTCTTGCTGGTGATAGCCGTCGAATCTCTTCCCGACCACCGACTGTCGTCAGACTTTCGCCCATTCGTTGGATGCTATCGAGTCCTCACTAGACTTTTGCCTGATTATTGACTACCTTCTGATCTTCAAACATCATTGGACTATCACTAGCATGCTGATTTATCATCGGATCTCCAACCATCGTCAAATCTCTATTGAATATTCTCATGACTATTGCCACAAGATTTCTAACATATGTCATTCATTCAAGATCAAGAGTACCTATTTGAAGTTTAACATATTCTTCAATATATTGTATGCTTATTATCCTTGAGTTGAAGGATGAGTCGACCTTTGTAATTTATTTAAGCATTATTGGAATCATTTCAATTGGGCAAAGCCTCGTGATTTTTTTTCCCTTTTTTGTATTTTCCACATAAAAATTATGGTGTTTTTCTATAATTTTAATTGTCTATTGAATTTTTGTATATACATCCCTAAGTCGAAAAATCCTTTCGCTCTACCATCGCAATTTTCTCAGTCTGTAACATTTTGGCTCCTTGTGTGTGAAATCTTTCCAACATTCTTTCTTCAATGGTCAATCGAAGCGGTGCTAATAATCGAAGGGGTACTAATAACAGACTATCTCGTTCCTGCACTCATCAAGCTAAAAACTCATCTAGCAGCCGTAGACATCATAATCATGCTAGAGGAGAACCTCATTCCTTAGAAACTTGAATTCAAAGAATGGAGGAATAACAAATGTGAATCTTCATAATATTGGAGGTCGACAAATAAAGGGTATCATCAGAAAATGATTATCACAACCTAATCCAATATCATCCCATACCACACATGTCATATCGTGTCTAATTGTGACATGACTAATCCCAAAACCTCGTTGGAGAAGTACTGGAATAAAACTTTCAATTTATATATTTCAAAGATCGAAAATACAAATTTGATCAAAAAAAATGTCAAAAACATCAAAATTATTGAAAATTTAAATAGAGAAAATATAACATACCTTCAGATGAAGAAATTTCTCAACTAGGGCGAAGGAAAAAATGGTTATACGATCTCCTAGCTTTTTTCACTCTCCTCTCTTTGCTTATATTTTCCCCCAAACCCTTCTCTATTAATTGCATGAAACGAATGAGGGAATTAAATTGATTTAATAACTTAAGTGAGTTTAGATATTTTCTTTTTTTATAAAAAAGAATACTCTTCTCTTCTTCTCTCTCTTGCTTGGATCCCCCCTCATGAGAAATGAGGGCTCTATTTATAGATTTTTTGGAGTGGCATGGCCGGTAAATAGGCGTTAGATCAGGGGCGAATAGGGAGTGGTTGAATGGACGGCCGATATTGAATCCCTTGATCATGCACTGTTCGTTGGACATTTGATGGCCTTAATGATGTCGGAATTTGATGATCTTGGGCTCGTTGGATTTGACTCATCAAGCCCTTCAATTCGAGTATAAGCTCGTCAAAATCGGAGACCGTTTGGTAACTCAAATTGCGGTTTGAACCTTCCAATAGCGCTTTGAACCCTTGATTCGGACTCATTTGGGCTCGGATTGGGTTGATCTTGGTGTTGTTGGGTTCGTAGTTCTGAGACGCTCAGTTTGACTGTAAGCTCGCTGAAATCGGAGTTCATATGCTCCCGAAATTAATTTTTGAAGCTTTCAACTAGTTTTGCCTCGATATTCGTGCCCGATCAAGATGATTTTGCGATGTCGTATCAGGCTAATGCTCCTCCTCCATAGTTTGGTCCATAAGTAGATGATGCGACAAGTTCAACACATCCTCCGCCTAGAGCACATCAAATGCAAAATCTTCTACCATTGGTAGATACTAAATTAGTTGCAATGTCTTGTCCAAGAAGAATTTTCAATAAGGGATATAAACTATTATAATCCTCAACGTAGCTTCCAATAGTCATCTCCTCTGACATATGAAATTCTCCAACACCCTATTCCAACAGGTTTAAGTTTCTTGCCATTGATCATTATGAGTACGTTGATTACTATAGAATAATCATGCATTTACAATGAACCTCTGATGTACTTCTTTGTCAAGTGTTTTCTACTATCCTTAAGGGTCAAACTCATATATAGTATTTATGCTTTCCATATAATGCAATCCATAATTTTGCTCATCCTGTAAGATTCTTTATCAAACAGTTCATTGTTAATTAAAAAATTATTAAGGATTTATCACATCTCTTTGGATTCCATCAAAATGAAAGATAATCATCAAAAGACTATTTTCAAATATTTTCGTTCGAAGCTCGTCAAATTCCAAGAGTACATCTTGAGCAACATCATAATAAAATTCTACATCATGTTTAAGTGTACAATCATTTTCACATAGAGCTAAGATTAAAATTACATGAAGTGAAGTACTTTTGTTAACATCATCTTATGCACTGTAATAAATCATGGTGGAGGAGGACATGTCTGGTTGTACCTTTTGTGGGCAATAATCAAGTCATCACAAAACTCCTTGCAAACCACTGTTAGACCATTAGGCCTCCACTTAATTAGCAATATGAGTGTGTTGTTAGACTGTTGTGATTGATATTGTGTTTGATTCCCTCCATCAAGATATTCGCTATCTGCCTCTGTCAGCATCTTCAATAAAATGCTATTCAACCATCACCAACTGCTTACCGCCCGAGTGATAACATCAAAATATCACCTAACCACCTCTATTAGGCTTTTATTTTTTAACCACCATCATATGCATACTACCTGACTCCACTACTTGACTCTCTAGATCAAAGGATTAATTTAAGATCAACGAATCTATTCTTGATCATCAACCATCTATGAACTTATGCCCTTTCGTTGATGTTCACCAAGTTTCCTCCTAGGTGCTAATACCACATGATCTCTTTAAATCATCATTTTATGTAAGAGGTGGTTGATCTTCTTTGGTCATGAGTAGTTTGGGGGAGAATGATCTCTTAACAGGACTTCTTCTACACAAGGATGGTTATTGAAGCTTAATAGGAGATATCATCTATCCCAGATAGTGTAATGCCTCTAATGCAAGAAGAAGTATGAGAAATAAGGAGAAGAAAAGCAAGAGCTACTCTTTTTACACAAAGAGGGGCACTAGAGCTTCATGGAATCTATTCCTGATCATCAACCACCATTGGATATGACCAATCTCCAAAACTCGTACAAAATAAATCATTACCCTTAAACCTCCTTATGTACCATCTTATACGCCACGCTTTATAGAAAGAACCTACTGCATTACATGTTAATTAATAAATGAAAGAGCCAGGGCATATTGTTTGTTATCCCTGGTACCAAGTGAGTTCTTCCTATCGACTGAGCTGGAAACCCCCTGAGATGCCTTTTCTCCTGAATGGCCATAGTAGGGGTGTCAATATTTGACACGACACGAAAACCTGACCCGAACACGACCCGTTTGAAAAATGGGTCGTGTTCGGGTTGATCCGACGAGTTGCCGAGTCAACCCGAAAACCCGTTTAGAATGAGCTACCTGAGGCTGGCCGCACCTGCCTTGGCTACCCGCGCAGCTGCCAGCGGCCGCCAAGGCTGCTCGAGCCCTTCCCGAGGCTGCCCGCGCCGCGCAGCTGCCCACTCGCGAGTCGCGCCTGTACTGCCCGCAAACTCCTTCCCTGTCTGCTCACTCCTGCGCTGCCCACCTGCTCGCCCGCGTCCTTGTGCCTGGGTTCGCGCTCCTGAGGCTGCGTCCCGCCCGCCTGCGCGCCCTACGTCCGCGCGCCCGCTTGGTAACACCCGCCTAAGCGCCTGAGTCTGCGCGCCCCAGCTAGCGTCCCGCCTGCGTGCCCGTGTTCGGTGTCGGGTTGGGTCAACCCGGCAACCCGACGGGTCGGGTCCAGGTCGGAGTTTTCGACCCGTTTACCTACCCGGGTCGGGTTAGGGTTGACCCGATTGAACTTGGGTCAATTCCGAGTTCGACCCGAACCCGACCCGTGACCCGAAGTTGACACCCCTAGACCATAGGGATGTTCTCTAATGCTTCTTGAATCATTCATAAAAAATATTTCTTCCATATCCCAGTAATGAAATCACGATGATCAATATTAATTAACTCTTCCT